CTACATTTGGATAGACATATGACATGTAATATATATGTTATCTTTCCAACGATTAAAATTGAGACTCTTAACAATTTCGAATATAAAGGAAAAAAAAAATTCATCACCGTCTAAGAAAATGATTTTTCTTGACAAGTATGTTCTTAGAAACAAAGATTTATAAAGATTTTTGGTCCAATGATAAGGCGCATGTATTAAGCAAAGTGAATAATTCATAATTTTGTGAATAATTTTGGCCCAATGTTCTCTCCCTTTGAACAAGCAAAAGGTCTAGTCAATTCCTACATATACCTAACGAAAACAAATACATTTCATTAAGCAATAGTTTTGTGAAGAAATCATAGTAAATTGCTTCTAGCTAGTTATCCTTGTAGAAAATGGGTAGCTCTTAGGTAATAGCAATAAACATAGGTAATAACATATTGCAATAGAAATTTTAATACCATGCATTTCAACAAATGAATCACATGTACATATATAATTATTCTCTTTGAGGTATTCTTCGATTTTTTAATTTAATTGCTAAATGATTACAGTTTTTGAAGTGGTTTAGATAGGCTAATAAACAATAAACATTAATAGCAAAATTGTAAATTTGATTCTTTATAATTAGAATTTTAAGTCATTACGATCAATGTTAATTATTTATATTTATAAGAAATTTATCAACTTAAATTTGTTAGGTAATGATTTTTTTTTAAATCTCTTAATAATTTCAGTTATACCCAATATAAAGGAGGGAATATAATTTTCTTTTCTTTTTTTTTTTTAAAGTTTACTTTTGTTTGATATATATAGTCAATAACTAAAAAGCATTGAAAAATATTTAATGAACTGAACATAAATAAAATTATGCTATATTCTTTTCTTCAAAATTTTCAATTAATATAATACAAGAATATTCCGTGAATCATAATTGATCAAATAATACTTTCATCGAATAAATCTTGGTTAGTCTTTTTTTTTTTAATCTCCGGAGAAATTGTAATAGTTAATAATATTAATGGTTATTTATGATAATATGATTTATTAATAAAATATTAAACTTTTAATTTCAAAAATAATTATTCAACTTCTTTTAATTTCAATTATTAAAAAAATCAACGAATCATAATTAATATGCCTTCTATCTACGTTTGAATTTAGTATATTCAATACATAGGAATTATGATACACTGAACTCCATACTAATGGATTATAGGAATATATTATTGTTATTATTATTATTATTATTATTATTATTATTATTATTATTATTATTGTGTAATAACATGTCAATGGTATGGTATCACAGGCTCACGGTTAATATCATGGATCATGCAAATGCATGAATGATGGAACCAACCAATTACTCCCAAAGCTTGTTTGTTAATTTTGCATTTTGCAAAGGCCTTAATTAATTATAATATATCTACATATATTTTATATATTTTTAAAATTAAAAGAAAATTTTATTCATAATAGAGTTTCGAAATTACGACCAAATTATCGTTTCAAAACTGTTCTCGAGTCAGCAAAATGGTTTACTTCCCTTAAAAACATGTACAAAGGAGATCTTTCCTTCCAAGGATTAATACTCTGCGACAGCCCGTAGAAGTATAATGAAATTTTGAACAAGATGCTCAACAAACCTTGAAATGGAAAGCTCTCTTTTGTTCAGGGAAGCAAACCATTTTCAGACTCCTTTGTTGAGCTGGGAGTTAACTGCAGATTTGATCTGATGAATTGGTTGTAATTCCGAAAAAATAAAATTTTCTTTTAACTTAAAAAATAATATATAATATATATAATTAATTAAGGCCTTTGAAAAATTACCCTAGGTAATTCCATGGTCGGTCCTACTCCTACCCCTGCCCTGACTCATCATGCAGTCATGACTCATGAGAATGAAACTAGACTTGATTTCTTGGGCCATGGCTGCTTCACAATGTCGTGATATATATGCAGAGTTTCTTTTTGAAATGCCTTATCCGGTGCTAGAACGGCCTGCTGACTACCCCCTTGAAAGGGGTCGTGCAGACTGCCTGCACCAGAAAAACGAAATTAACATATATCTTAATCATTACTGCTATTGTTGATTAATCTTAATGTATCCTTTGGTTGACTCAAAATTCAGCTTAATTTTTCACATCATTAGTAAATCTGCTCTGAACGGTGGCTAATGTGTGTCTTTTCAAGACTTCCACCTTTCTTGCAAAGTTCTGGCATAAATCGAGGAGAAAATGGAGGCAAAAAAAAAAAAATGGAGGAGGAAAATTGCTACTTTGCTACGATATGGTTGTTCTATATGTACACACTTTATCGACAAGGAAAATCATGATTTTGTTAGATTTAACGTCCAGGAAATTTGGCCAAAAGTTGTCCAAGAAACACCCTTTACTAGATGCATGATGGAGATAGTATACTAAAAATATTAATGGTCGCAGATAATAGCTTTGCTTATACTCAATTTCCCTGTTAATGAGGCCAGAAACTTGAAAATGCTGCCAATGGTCAAAACTTCTCTGAGAAAAGAAACGCAAAAGAAATTGAACTAATATAACTTGATTCTGCACACCAACGGACCCATTGAAGATCGTATAATAAATCCAAATTCCCAGCTCAGAAGTCATACCAGAGAAGAAAAGATGCAAGTATAATTCATCAGATATGCATGAAGGGCATGTTTCGAACATGTCAATATCAAGACAGCTTAGTAACAGCCAGCAACCTCTTCGTGAAAATGGATATGATTTTATTCATTATTGTTGAATGATGATGATGATGATGATGAGGATGATGGCTATCTCAACACGGTATCCAACAATATCACGCCTCTTTAGTCTTTTCTTTTGCCCCCATCTAACTTCTAATGTCAAGCACCATTGCTTCCCAGGCTTTTGACTGTCCTTTTCATTTCCTAATTTCCCCCTTTACACGTGGGCCATCCCTGTTGTTCAGCCAAAGAAATTTCAGCGGTTCATTTATGCTGCCATCTTGTATATATACTGCAACCCATCCCTGCAATACCCACTGCTTCAAACAGTTCTCCCAGGCTCTCCCAAGCTTTTGTACTACACTATTTTGAGATATATAATTAGTACTACTAGCACTAGTTTTTTTGAATTGCACGCATATGGCTTGTCTGAATAACATTTACAAAGAGGTTGGTGTTTTTATTTTTTTTCCTTTTTTTTTTTAATTTAATCATGTGTCAACAATCTCGCTAGATCATGATCATGATATATAGAAGCAGATGAACCTTTGCAGTTGGTCTTTTCACCAAAAACATATTATAGTTGAAATGGGTCGTGTGTTTTGATTAGTACCATTTCCGTTGAAGTAATTTTCTTTGGGGTACATAGAACATGATGATGCAGGACAAATCTCCATATTGGTGGATCATATTTGGGAGGCTTTTGTCATCCGACATTCACTTCATCTTAGAAAGACCAAATAATCAGATCATGTTTTCTTAGTGTTAACTTTCGTTCAAAGAGTTTTACGTGTCGTTCTTCCTCGCTGTTTGTTGAGAATATAGAGCAGCTGATCCAACACTTGTCAACCTTTGGTTCCAATACTTTAAAAATTCAACACTACTGTCAGAACACACTTGTAAAAAAGACTGAACCCTCGTCAGCTTAACCGAGCAAAAATTAGGCAGGGTCAGATGCCTCTCGTGTTTTTATTTCTGTCTGCCGTGGGATAATTTGCTTTTGCCTTTTCACCTTTACTTTCTGTTGCATATATATTTTGTCATTTTGTGATTTTCTATGGTCTGGGTCCGTGACAACAAATGAAAGCAAACAAAGGGTCAAAAGATTTTTCTTTTCTGTATACTATTACGCCAATATGTTATCATAATAATATGTTATATGTTATTTAACTAGGTGCATGTATCTTTTTCACCTCTTCGGATGAAGGAGATAATTAAACAGACACCAAAAAATGAAATTTTTTACCGTGACCAACAAACATACTTGGTGGTTTTCTCGACCAACAAAAAGAAGTCGTTGGTTTTCTTGCCATTTTTTGTTTGTTTTTAAAAAGTAATGATTCAAATTCAATCATGTTTAGTGGTATTGGAATTTCATTAGTTAATAATACTTAGTAATACTAGTACTAGTATTTTGTTGTCCCATGCATGGATCGTTAGGTGATCAGATGAAGAGCAATACTTTCTGGTTTCTCTCTTTTTAGAACAATTGTTTTGTTTGATTTTAAGTTTGTTATTTTATACATTATTATAGATTATAGATTATAGATTACAATTGGTCACTTCAAACAAATAAATAAACATTCAACAATAACATTTTAAATTATTTTATAATTAAGTGAAAAGTTATGATTTATTGAAATGCATTCAATTCCTAATTTATAATTATGTTACTTGTTTCATGGGAGATGTTAAAGTGCTTGAAAACTCGTAAAAAATAAATACTTAATGAATTTGTTATTATTTAAATTTTTATATTAATTTTGTGAGTTTGTTTCTTCTAGAAAATAACATCATCTTCACTTGATTTATAAGAATTGTAAGGATACTCGAGGTGACTTTTTTTTTATTGATTTATAAAACCTTTAAGGATACTAGATGTGATTTTTTTATATAAAAAAAATCGTAATTTCTGTTTTAAATCTCTTAAATGTCAAATTTTTAAAAAAAATGATTACGTAAATTAACTAAATAAGTTTCTGAATCAGATTTATACTTAAAAGTGACTTTTGGCTTAGGAACAATGCTTACATTCCCACTCTGTAGCTATATAAGAAGGTTCGAGCGGATAAAGTGAACGCTTGAAACCTCTAATCTTTGTATAGGTGAGGTTATGCCCCATTATATTGCAAGAAAAGTGGTCATGATTAGAATTTACAAATACAAAAAGATGCCTAGTTTTGTTTATATATTTTATTCAGTCATTTTATGTTTACATCCGTCGCCTTAATTTGAAGTTTATGTAGTATAGTATAATATCCTTAAAATTAATTTGAAATAATTAATTAACTGAAACTATGATCAGGTGAGTATTGAAAAGAAGATCGCAAAGGAAGAAGAGGTTTACACCTTAGATGGAGCTGTGGATCGACATGGTCATCCCGCTATTCGAGGCAGAACTGGAACTTGGGTTGCTGGAATTCTACTGCTAGGTAAATCTCCATACTTGCACTGCAATTAAAGCAGAGGCATGCACATATATATAGATATATATGGAACCATCCACTTCTCTTTTTCAGAAATGTTCAAAATATTATACTTATATGTATAATTCCTTCAATTCAAACTCTACATAAAATTCATCAGTTAATCAAGGGCTGGCAACATTGGCGTTCTTTGGGGTTGGGGTCAACCTGGTGTTATTCTTAACGAGGGTGCTGGGCCAGAACAACGCAGATGCTGCAAACAACGTCAGCAAATGGACTGGAACGGTCTACATTTTCTCTCTGCTTGGTGCCTTTCTTAGTGACTCTTACTGGGGAAGGTACAAGACTTGTGCCATATTCCAGGCTGTCTTTGTTGTTGTAAGTTATAAACAACTTCTCTCGTCGAATCTTTCTCATTTCTCATGTACACGTATGTAACATGCCATGTATGGTACTCGAAAATTTAAAATTTTCAACTGATTCCTTGCTAACGCAAGTTTGTTTTAACACAGGGTTTGGTGTTGTTATCAATTTCATCCTCTGCATTCTTACTCAAGCCTACCGGCTGCGGTGATGAAGTAACTCCATGTGGATCTCACTCCGCTTTGCATATCATGTTTTTCTACTTTGCCATATACCTCATAGCCCTGGGAAACGGCGGTTACCAGCCGAATATCGCCACATTTGGGGCTGACCAATTTGATGAGGAAGACCCTAAAGAAGGGCACTCAAAAATAGCCTTCTTTAGCTTCTTCTATTTGGCTTTGAACCTTGGATCACTCTTTTCAAACACTATATTGGGCTATTTTGAGGATCAGGGCAAGTGGACACTTGGATTTTGGGCATCCGCTGGCTCTGCCTTTGTGGCATTGGTCCTGTTTCTGATTGGGACACCCAGGTATAGGCACTTCAAGCCCAAGGGCAACCCTCTCTCAAGGTTTTGCCAAGTATTGGTTGCAGCAATAAGAAGATGGAAAGTGGAGATAATGCCAGGAGGAGAGAATTTGTTTGAAGTGGACAAAAAGGAATCTGCCATGAATGGAGATAGAAGGATACTCCACACAGAAGGTTTCAGGTAGATTCATGTGCTTTCTATTTAATAAACACTTGATAAAAATTTCGGTCGATATCATAGTCTAATTAGACCAACTTGATGATCAAGACAACTTTTATTAACATAGTGCTCATATTCATTTTTTCAGGTTTTTGGATAGAGCAGCAGTTATGACACCGAAGGATTATGCTAAGCAATACAAAAATATTAATGGTTGCAATCCATGGCGTCTCTGCACAGTAACACAAGTTGAGGAAGTAAAATGCGTACTTAGACTCCTCCCAATTTGGCTATGCACCATACTCTACTCTGTGGTTTTCACTCAAATGGCATCACTCTTTGTACAACAAGGAGCCGCCATGAAAACTACCATTTCAAACTTCCAAATCCCGGCGGCGGGCATGTCTAGCTTTGACATACTCAGTGTGGCAACATTCATTTTCATTTACAGGCGAATTCTTGACCCTATTGTTGCAAGAATAAAGAAAAAACCGGCAGAGGGCCTAACCGAGCTCCAGAGAATGGGGATTGGGCTTGTTATAGCTATACTGGCAATGATCTCAGCAGGAGTTGTAGAGGTTTTCAGGCTGAAGCACAAAAACAAAGATTGCCCGAGATGTGAAAATGCGAGCACTTTGAGCATATTCTGGCAAGTACCTCAATATATGCTTATAGGAGCATCTGAGGTATTCATGTATGTTGGTCAATTAGAGTTTTTTAACAGCCAAGCACCAGATGGGTTAAAGAGCTTTGGCAGTGCACTTTGCATGACATCGATATCACTGGGAAACTACGTGAGTAGCTTGCTCGTGTCTATTGTTATGAAAATATCTACAAGGGATGACATGCCTGGATGGATCCCAGGAAACCTCAACAAGGGTCATCTGGACCGATTCTTTTTCCTGTTAGCGGCTTTGACAACAGCTGATTTTGTGGTCTACTTAATATGCGCCAAGTGGTATAAGTATATTAAGTTTGAAGGAAGGATTGGAGAAGATCATAACAACGACAACGGGCAGGCAGCAGCAGCTGCAGAGCTTAGAGTTTAAGGTATATCAGTCAGTATGTTCCAATGTCAATGGTATTCGTGTGCGCTGGCATAGTGGCATGGCGTGTTTTGATGATCAATGCCATGATTTGATATAAATAATTAAGCGCAAGGAAAAGAGTGTGAAGAAAGAAAAGAAGTCTGTTCTGCGATGAAACAAGGAGAAATGAATGCCATGGGATTGGGATGGCATTGTACTTTTCTCTATGTCGAGCTAGCCTCCATTACTTGCAAATTAAAGACAAGTTCATCGATCTGATCCTGTAGTAATTCGGTAACAACTCCTCATATGAATGCTCACATCATCATCATTCACGGCCAGTAGCTATATCAATTTTTACAGTGATTTATAGGACTACCTAAATTATTCATCAATAACTATATCCATCCTTTTTGCAATTGTGGTAGAAATCAAATCAAATCAAATCAAAATTATGGCTTAACTTAATTCATATGATCAGCTTTGCTTCATCTACTTAAACTTATCAAACAATACATAATAATACCCGTATTATTATATTTGATGCACTATGCCCGTGTATGGATGTTATGTTATAAATTGTTACTGAATCTAATAATGACATTTCATAAAATATTAATTTTAAATATATTTTTAAAATTAAGCATATTTATTTTTTAAGATTTTAAGATTTTAAAATTAAATTCTTTATGAGATATCATTGTATGATTAATTTACTGACAATAAATAACATACATACACCGACAATGTATGACTATAAACTCTAAGTAAATAGTACTAGTAATTAGAGTAATTATTTATGGATTATTTTTTAAAAAATTTATTTTTGCAAGTAAAATTATTTATGGATTATTATTTATTAGTAGTAGCAGTAAAAAATGGGGAAAGGAAAGGAAAAGTATAACTACTAATCTACTAAAACTAAATATATACTAGAATTGAACTGCACGTTGTCACGAAGTAATTCTTTTGCTATTTTTTGTAAAAGAATATTTAGATATTTTACATGCTTTCCTTTAAAAAAGAAAAGAAATTAAACATTAATGTGGAACAAAAATTTTTTTAGCATATTTATATATTATTAATGGAAACTTATGTATAAAGTTATTTGGATTCGTCATATGACTGCTGACATAAAAGACGTAATTAAGCATCCTAGCATCTTGTTTAATGATAAATCTTTTAGCATAAATTTGTAAAAATATTGTTTGATAATTAGCAAGCAATTTTTTAGCAAATAAAGTAAGTTTCATTAAACAATCTAATAAATCACAACATCAAAAGAAAGAAAACAAATTAAGCATGGGCAAATCCTTCAGTAAATCCAGCACATTAAGCATCTATAAAAAATCATATTTATATCTATGCCTAATTGTTCTAATCCAGCATTGGGCATGGTCATATATGTTCTATCAATACACTTGCCACATATCAAACTCTCAAAACAGGAGGTAGCCCTAGATGAAATGAAATCTTTGAAGTTATCTCTTGACAGAAAGCTACACCACAACTATGGATAACAAAATAATAATAATAATAATAACGGGTGAAGGTGCAATACATTTATAAACCAACAAAGATTGATTTGTTTCTAATATAAAAGAAAAGAAATGACTCATATTTAGGTGCATATTTGAATTTGTCCTAAGTCCCAATAAAAAGTTTATAAGAATTAAAAGGATATATAAAACATAATAAAATCATGCACAGACAGATAAAGAACCAAGTAAAATTTTTTTTACGAAAACATAAGTTTGAAACATAATCAAAATATGGATAAACACCAAATGCCATAATCAACTACCAATAAAAGCTTATAAGAATCAAAAGGATATAAAATACGATAAACAACATGCAAATAGCATAGAAACATATTAAGGGCGACTTAAAGGAGGAATTTTCAACGCAAAATAAGGTAATCCTAAAAGTTATAAAAATATGAATTGATTGTCAAATGATGTGGCCATAATACCTCATAGACCTCATACACAATTAAAACAACCAAGTAAAAACAAACAAAGGTAAAAGAAAAAAAAATTTTAAACATCATACCTTTTATTGTCCTAAAATTCATGGAAGTAAAATCAAATGACTGCAAAGCAAGTATACATATAAGTTAAAAAAACAATTAATAAGTACAAATCAGGGTTAGGTCATTCCAAAATATACATGAGTGGAGTAAATAGCAAAATCATGGTAAAATATATTAAAAGTATAATGTTGATTGTGTGTGGAATATATATAGCACATTAAAAGTATACTATGTAGATTGATTAATCTAGATATGACACATATTTTCAATTAAATAAAAAATATATAAATTAATAACTCTCACTGTCTTGATTGTGTGTGGCATTTATATATATATATATATATAGAGAGAGAGAGAGAGAGAGTGTGTGTGTGTGTGTGTGTGTATGTATTAAGGTAGTTTTGGTGCATAAGATAATGGATTGAATAGGATGATAATCATTATATATTATATTTGGTTTGTATTTAAAGAAAAAGATAGGATTTCAATTACGTTTAATCATTTTTTTTATATAAAATGATTCAATCCTCTAAAAGTGAAAAGAGTTATTTTTAATTTATGGAATTGAACTTACATGTCGTATTATACCCTTAAAATTATATCAATAATTTAAATTATATAAACTTAAAAAAATGATAATTTTGACTAATAGATAGATTATTCTATCAAACACAAAATAAAAGGATCAATAAAATGAAGCAATGACATGAAAGGATCAAAACTTTGAATAATAAAATGTAACAAAAGCATCTAGCCCAAATAACAAAGAGATCCACCTTTCTTTGAATTCATATTTAAATTAAATTATATAATGATGCTATGTAAAAGAAGGTAACATCGAAATAGAAACATTATATGACCCAATATGTGATTAAGTAAACCTAAAAAAAAAATGCATATTTAGACAATTTTATACCATTAAAATTATCAACATAAGTGAATAAGTACAAATATAGTAATGTTAACAAGCAAATAAAGCAAATTGTAGATATTAATATAAAAAAAACAAGCAAAAAAAAAGTGAAGAACCTTAGTGTTAGCTTTGAGTTGATGAGGATTTTGAAATAACAAAAAAAAAATATTTGATTAAATTGGAATAAATTGCTTTGAAATTGATTTGATTGATTTTCTAGCCTTTTATTAAGTTAAAATTATTTTGAAACAAAAACAATCATTCTCCATGCTTTAAAAATGAATTTGTGCAAATTGTACTGAAGGGATTGATCCTCTTATAGATCTAATCAAACCTCTAACTTAGTGGATCGATCCATTTTTAAACAAAATGCTTCAATCTTTCAAAACAACAAAAACCAATCCATCTGCTGGCTTATAAGATCAATTGGGTAAGATTACCTAATTGATTGGGTATAGGGTTTCATTGAACCAATTGATCCCTTTTAAAAGCCAATCGATCTTTTTTTAAATAGAAGCAAATTTCGTTTTGAAAATGTCAAAATCGATCAATTAGGTCCAATTTTCACGCGTACATTTTAGTTTGTAAAGCTAGAACTAGTCAATCCCCTTCTTGATAGTATTGATCGGTGAGGATTGATTGGTTCGACATTGACAAGCTTAAACGATCAATATTTTTTTGTTAATTTGCAGAGGCTCCAAATGTTTAATGCAACCAAGGGCTATCTTTCATCCTCTACACATAATAAAAAGTCTTTCACTACATAATAAGCCATCAAGAGTTAAGAAAAACTTATTACTTTTATCTATCATTTTCTCCAAGCATTAAAGAGCATTTGTTGTAGCAAAAAATTCATCTTGTATTTATTTCTCTCTTAATATCTTTCATAATCTTGATTTGTATTTTAAATTAGCAAACACCCAACCTTAAAAAGGTTTTTTTGAGTTTACAAAATACTTCAAAACTTGTATTATGAGATTGTAAGTTTAAGGAAGAGGATAACCCTTAAAAAGATTATGTTATTAATTGGATAGAGCTTTGAAGAGATAGGTTGTAACATTAAACATATAGTGGATTAGACTCCTTGGCAAATGAGGCTTAAGGATAGAATTTAAGTGCCTAAAAGAAATGTTAAACCTTTATAAATTTTGATATTTGATTTGCTATCTCTATCTTTTTACTTTCAAGATTATTATTGTGCTCATATTTGTTATGTTTATTTGCTTAGAAATATTAATTTGTGAATTTTGTGTTCATTGGATATTAAATTGCAAAAATTCATAATCAACTAATTTACCATTTTCTTAGTTTAATTCAAGTCTTTAAGCTAACAATTAGTATTAGAGCTAATATTCTTTTTTGTATTTTTAACAACCTAAGAGTGATCCTAAAGGCTTAAAAAAATATGATGATGAAGGAAAAATAACTATCTACAAGTTACAACAATTATGGATAGCAACAAAAACTGCGTCTAATGGTAATTGGAATGGTTGCCACATCTCTTAATGGTAAATGCTATTCTATTATGAAACTTTTTTTTTGTTGATAATAATTACTCATATTGGAAGACATGGATGATATTATTCATTTAAGCCAATGACCATGAAGTATGGAGAATTATTGTCAATGGTCTTCAAATTCTAATGAAAAAGGTAGATGATAGAGTTGTGATCAAGCAAAAAAGTAAATGATATGCTAATGATATGAAGATGGCTCAACTCAATGCCAAGATAATGCATATTTTTTTATGCATTAAGGCCTAATGAGTATAATAGAGTTTTCTTTGTGAAAATGCAAAAGAAATTTAGGATAAATTGGCTATTACTCATAAAGGTACTAATCAAGTTAAGGAGGCCAAAATTGACATGCTTACTCTTAACTATAAGCTTTTCAAAATGAAATTAGAGAAAACTATTAGTGAGATGTTCAATTGCTTCACTGACATCGTAAATAGTTTGAAGGTTCTTGAAAAGGCATATTCCAATGTGGAAATGGTGAATAAAATCTTGAATAGTTTATCAAAAAGTTGGAAAGCAAAAGTGACAACAATTGAAGAATCCAAAGATCCTCATACATTTTTTTTATGAACTTATAGGTTATCTTCTTACATATGAGATGAAGCTCAAATAAGAATAAGAACCAATTAAGAAATGTAAAATTACTCTTAAATCAACCATTGAAGAAGAAAAAAAATTAAACAAGATAAGGTTGATGAGGAAGAAGAAATGGCTATGTTTGTAAAAAAGTTTAAAAAATTCATGAAGATGAATAAGTTCTCAAATAGAGGAAGATCACAAAGAAAAATGATCAAGGGAAAATCAAATAGAAAAGAAAGGGAACAAGTCACTTTCTATGAATACAACAAATCGGGTTATATTAAAATTGAATGTTCTTTGTGAAAGAAGCAAAATGCAATGAAGTCAAAGAAAAAAACAATGTTTGCAACATGAAGTGATAGTAACTTTTCCAATAATGAATCGATTGAGGAGAAAGTAAAA